GTCAACAAAATCAAATAACAACAAATACTTCTGTTAAAACACGTGAACGTCGTGGTGCAGTATCAGCTGAACCTTATAAAGAAGAAGATGCAACATCATATGTTAAAACTGTTATACCAAAAGATTATGCAACAATGCAAGCATTAAGTAAAGCTATACAATCGAATTTATTATTTTCACATTTGGATGATGGTGAAAAATCGGATATATTTGATGCAATGCAACCATTTAATTATAAAGCTGATGAAACAATAATACAACAAGGTGAAGAAGGAGATTTTTTTTATATTATTGATCAAGGTGAAGTTGAAGTATATGTTAATAATAAATGTGTAACATCTATATCCGATGGTGGAAGTTTTGGTGAATTAGCACTTATTTATGGTACACCACGTGCAGCAACAATTAAAGCTAAAACTGAATGCAAATTATGGGCTATTGATAGAAAAGTAAATCTTTTTTTTTAAATAAAAGAAAACTTTTTTTTCTTTTTGTTTTTTTTGTAGACTTATCGACGTATTTTAATGGGTTCAACAATTAAGAAACGTAAAATGTATGAAGAATTGTTATCAAAAGTTAAAATTCTTCAAGAACTTGATCAATGGGAACGTTTAACTGTTGCTGATGCTCTTGAACCTATACAATTTAATGATGGTGATAATATTGTTGTACAAGGTGAAAAAGGAAATGACTTCTTTATTATTGTTGATGGTAAAAATAAAATAAAATAAGAATTTTCTTTCTTATTTTCGTTTTATAATTAATTAAAAATAAATGACTTCTTTTTTTTTCTCTAGGTACTGCTGTTGTCTATCAAAAACCCTCGGATGATGAACCAGCTGTTGAAGTATCAAAATTAGGTCCCTCGGATTATTTTGGTGAAATTGCTTTATTATTTGATCGACCTCGTGCTGCTACAGTCAAAGCCAAAGGCCCATTAAGATGTGTTAAAATGGATCGTAATCGATTTGAACGTGTACTTGGACCTATATCGGATATTCTTAAACGTAATGTTGCACAATATAATTCTTTTATTAATTTGGCTGTTTAAAAAACAACGAACAATATTAAATAAAATATACATATAGATCTATCAATAGTTGAGCGAAAAAAAAACAACATTTTCTTTGTCTTTATGTTTTTTTCCTTTCGTTGTCAATCGTTCGTTTATGTTCTTTCTTTAAACACCAAAAACTATAAAGATTTGCATGTCTTTTTTTTTCTTCTCTTTTACGTGCCGTTTTCTTTTTTTTTTTGCTTTTTCTCTCTCTCTCTCTCTCTCTCTCTCTTTTTTCTTTTGTCTTTTTAAAAAAAAATCTTAAAATATATTTGCGTTTTATTTGATGTTTCGTATTTTCTCTATAATTTCAGTCTGTTTAGATGATTATTCGATTTGTTTGTATATTATACATTATTTTATTCATTGATATAACATATTCATCAACGAATAATAAAAAAAGTTCACCTATGTCATTTCCACGTCGTCGTCAATTTGATGAAACATTTCGTCGTTTAACTCGACAATGTGAACAAAAAGAGTCATGTCAAAAATATTTATCAACAATAACATTAAAAACTGATAATTCATTAGAACAACAACAAAAAGAATTAGCTGAAATAGATATGATTAATTGTATACGTCGATGTATATCATATTCATGTTATAAAGATATTTATGAAAATGATCCACTTGAACGTGGGGAAATTGATGTTAGATCTAATCAATTTAAATCATGTTGGATTAAAGAACAAAAAGAATAAAAATGAATTTGTTTTTGATTTTGTGATCAATGTGCTCAATTTATTTTCCAATGAATGAATCAATGAATAGAATGGTATTTGGTTTTTTCTATTCAAAACAAACAAAAAATATTAATTTTAAATGTTTAAAATTTGATATTAAATATCAATCAATATAAATAGAATGATTCAATGAAAATTCATTCGATTATAAGAAGATATTATTGAAGTTTATATGACTTAGTAAATATATTTATGAAAAATATTTATTCTGTATGTAAAACTGTTCGTATTCGTAATATGAATTGAAAAAAATATCTATATTAAAAATATTGTGTCTGTCTTTGTATTGAATAAGAATTAATATTAATAATACAATAAAAAAAAAAAAATTCTTTTTCAGTTATTAACGATTTCAGTATCGTATTATAACATTTATCGAATATATCATAATGAAATCAATCAACATTGTATGTGCTGCTTGAGAGTCAAAGGAGTGGCGACTCTTCGACGGTTGGCTTGACCCTTCCGGAGCTTGTAGTTGTTATTGTACATACAGTGTGTCTATGTTCGCCATTCCGGAAGATAAAATCTGAATAAAATACTGAAATCAATAGAGATAATCAAGTTGTTTTGTTTTTAACTTCATTTCAATGCGCTTTGTATTCGTTTCTGTAATTGAATTTATAAACCAATCAATATAAAGAATGATGGCTTAATCAGACGAATGCAAGAGGAGCACAATTCTTTCACCAACGCTTGAGTTTCGTTTACAAAGAAGCTTGAATCCTGTCTACGGGCGTTACTAGAAGTCTACGCCTTCTCTACAGATTTGCTCATGCGATTTAGCCTTCTTTCACAACTTTCTTTTTTTTTTTAATGATTATGTTACTAATGAAGAAGTATTCAAGTGTGAATAACTTTTTTTTATTCGAGCATAAATTTTGTATTGGATATACTAAGAACAATTTTTATTTTTAGCAGAAATATTGAACAATCCTTAGAATACTTGAATTTTAATAACAAACATTACTAAATTATTGTTTTTTTTTACTGTATCAGTTTTCATATTTTCGAATATAATTAATAAATCATATCTGTATATTTACCTGTTTTTAAATTTCTGGATGTTTTTTCAATGATTATGTCATGTATCATTTTTTTTTCTAATATTATTTTCGATACGTTTTTTTTTATTATTCAAATTTAATTTAATTGTACATAAAATGAATAAATGAGATTTATTTAGATATGCTCGATATATAGTTTAATCACTTTTCTAATATAAAAACGTGCTATGTATATTGATTCAACAGAATAACACATAGGTAAAATATTTTTAATAATATACATGACATTTTCTTGTTATTGGTAATTGTTAAACCGATAAATGTTGTATTAAAAATAAAAGAAATGTGTTCGTTGATATAAAAAAAAGTTAATTTTTTGTTTCAAAAGCAAAGAATTTTCCTTATTTTTAATTAAAAAAAAAAGTAAATATTTCTTTTCTTTCTTTATGAAAGAATAATAATAAGAAAAGACGAAATAGTAATATCATATTCTATATTTATTCAAAAATTTTTATTTAATACTTCATTGTATTGAAATATTAAAATAATATAAGATGAATGATGTAGAGAAAACTTAAAATTTATTATTTTTTCATAAATCTTGAAATAAATATAACACATTTATCCCACGAATTGAGAATTTTTATAATAAACATAAAGCTGCAAAATGTGATGAGTAGAAGTAAATATATATATATTAAATGAATCTTTTTTTTCCATTGATTTAGTTTTATTATCAAGATAAAATTGATAACATAGTGAGAGAATATTCAAGATAAAAAATATTTTGAAATACAATTGACTTAACTTTTCAAGTTAAATGGACTGTTTGATTTTTTTAAAACTGCAAATAAATAAAAGTCTTTTTGTTTTTTTGAAATAATATTCTGTATAATGAAGTTACTTTCGATGATCACTAATATGATGAATTCATGTTTTATTGTGAACAAAGATGAAATTTCAATAATAGATAATATCCAATGTACACGTCATATTCCCAAATTATTGATTACAAATCTATTTTCTGAGTGAAGAAATCTTTTGTTCTATTCATTTCATACTTGGCCTATTCTAATTAGAATCAAATATTGGTGTATTTCACTAGATTTAGTCAACCGAATAATGAAAAGAGATTCTATTGCATTTGTTCGTTCTCAATTATTATTCACTTTTCTAAAATTAGACAATCAACAAAACAATGAACAAATTATACTTTTTCTTGGTTTTTTTCACCTTTAACTACTTTTCACAAAGCTATTTAACATATATATATATACAGAATTGAAGAGGAAAACACTATGAAACCTTCTGTAACTTTTACAAACAACACTTTTTTTACAATGTCGAAATCTAACAAAGAATGTATTAAACATTCATCTTATAGATCTCTGATCTGTCGAGTATGTGGAGATGTAGCACGAGGTAATAATTTTCAAGTTATAACATGCATGTCATGCAAATCATTTTTTCGAAGAAATGCATTTCAACCATGGGTAAATAAAATTGTTTTCTTTGTAAAAATCTATTCTTCAATGTATAATTCAAATAGGGAATATTACGTTGTCACAATCACTATAACTGTATTATAACACAAAAAACACGTATTAAATGTCCACCGTGTCGTTTGAAAAAATGTTTTGCAGTTGGTATGAATCCAAATTTAATTCGTTCTACTCATCAACATCAATCTGTGCTTAACAATCATCGTTCATCATTGATCAAAACTAAAAAGCAAAAATCATTATTAACAGTAAGTAAAGCATTAATTTAATTATTTTTGAATGTTATTTTTGAATTTATTTCATAGCCTAAATTAGTAAATTTTCTTGAAAATGATACTACAAATTTGATATATAAACAATGGACAATATTTTCAAATGTAATTCATCAATATAATCAAATAAATCCAAAATTTAATGATAAATCTATATTTAATAAACAATCATCTTTACCACCTAAATTACGTTTTAAATCAACAAATGTATTAAATATGATTGATTCATTTGTTGAACATAATAAACCGAAGATTGAATATTCATTTCAATTGCAACAGTTATTCATGAATATTTGTCAAGCAAAAATCAAGCATAATTTATCCAGTGTTAATAATATACATGATTTTTTCACTAATCACGAAACAAATCTATATAATGACTCAGTTTTCTTTACTAGTGGTAATGAATTGTATGGGTCTGATTATGTTAATGAGATAATGTCAATATGTAAACAATTAGAACCAAATTTATCATTTGTTGAACTTATGATATTTGTTTTAAATTTTTCAATTGTTACTTTCGATGAGAAGAAAGATATCTGTATAATGTCAAATTCAACTGATTTTATTCAGATTCAACATATATATATCACTATATTGTGGAAATATTTTATTAACCAATATGGTTTTACTGAAACTGTTCGACGATTTAATAGTCTAATCAAAAGTATATTAATTATATTTCGTATCAATGAAAATCTTTGTCACAATAAAAAAGCATGAACAAATAAATAATACATTTAGAAAAATCAATGCAATTTTCATTGAATAATATATATTCTATTAATCGAACTTTTATGTTACGAAAAAAATTTCTTTTTTTTTTGTTTAAATATTTTTTTAGGATAATCGTAAAACTATTGTAGTATATTTGTTTTTGTTGTTAATGTTGTCGTGTAGTAGCATATTTGTCTAAATTTTATAATTACAATGAACTATTATATTTTAAATATAAAAATAGTAGAATATGATATCAATTATTGGGTTAAAGAGAAAATGCTTGATCTTGTTAGACATTCAAAAAAACACGTAAATAAAAATTTTGATTTTTTTTTTTGACAATTCTTTGAAAGAAATATTTTGTAATCAATGAAAATTTGCGTAGATTACAATCTATTTTCATATATACACACATAATTAATCAAGTCTTATGTATAGGATTAGATGAATATAAAGACTCATATTAGTATAGAAAATAAATTTCTATGAGATAATATCTACTTAATGATGATTGGTTGTCTTCACTGAAAATAAAATATTAATTGTAAAATACTTCAACTAAATGATATTAGGATTAGAGATGATTAAGAAAATTGTGTTTTTATCCAATTTTACTTGGCATATTTCATGTTTGGGATTGAATCAATTTGAATTTAGAAGAAATTATAGATAAAAATTGTTTGAGATTGATATTGTGATTTAGTCATTCAGAAACTATCTTACATTGTACGTGAATTGTTTCGAATTCATGTGTCAAGTAATAGCTAAAAATTGATTCGAACGACGATAAAATAACATCGAATGTATCAGAAGCTCAATGTTGGAAGATTTTTCTCAAAAAACTAAAACATTTCGAACAAATGTCGTTTTTCTTGAGACAGGAACTGATGTATTTTGTAAAGGTGCTTCAGATCAGAGATGGGATCGATTCGTGTTTTTTTTAAGGCTCTTCAAAAATCGATCTCAGCCCAGAAACGTTCGAATGACATGAAATTTTCAGGACATGTTGGAGCTGTTGTGGAAAGGCTATGGTGAAATTTTCAGCGCGATATCATGACGTTCAAGGGAGATATTAGTCAAACAAGGGTCAAAAATAGCGAATTTGACAACCCAAATTTCACAGTCCGGGTTCATGTGATGTATTTATATTTTTCTTTTGTTCTTCAAGGGCATGCCAGGATGCAAGGCACCACAGAGCTCTTTTGTTTAAATTTTTACTTTTTAAGCGGAAAGAAGTCATCACGAATTCAATGACTCAAAAAAATCTCCTAAAAAATGACGCTGTTTCCATAGAGATGTTTTCTTTTATTATTATAAAAAAGCTTATTTCAAAAAAAAGGATTCTGTGGTGCTCTGCATCTTGACGTGCCCTTAAAATTTAAATACATCACACGGATCTGGATTGAGAAATTTGAGTTGCACGTTTGACATATCATGAACTGAGAAAAAAATGAAAAAGATCTTTGGTTTTTTTCGAATAGAGGATGACGGAAATCGTCAAAAATTTTTGGAAAAAACAAGGTGCCCAGTAAAAGTTTTTGTTGTTTATGAGAGATCAGATCACGGACTATCTTGCCCTACAATTATCTTAATTTCGATCATTCTGACGAAAACGTGACTTTTTTTAGGAGTCCTTAATCACATCGATCTAAATCAATTACCTTGCTGAAAAGGCTTTATTTTGTGATTCTTTAACTCAAGTTCATATAAAATCATATTTTATTTGGAATGAAAAAAAAACAACGAATATAGTAAAAGAATTCGTTTGATCTTGATAACAAGGAAAAGAAATGTTCTAAATTGAAAATAAAAGCAACGATATTGGATAAATCGATACTAAGAACTATAGAATTATTCATTTTTAAAATCTATTTTATATCGTCGTTCAATAGTTGGTCGACTTATACGAAACCATATAACAACAGTAATTAATTCTAAAATAAGAACAATTAAAGTATATAAAATATCTTTCATTAAATTATATTGAATATTATTTAATGACATTGAATGCATATCTTCGAATACAGCATTTGCTTGACTAAAAGACATTAGAAAAATAGTAAGATGAAATGTATGATGTGATTGACCAAATAAATCAAATAAACCCGGACAAAAACGTTCAGGAACTCTTCCGACAAAAATGAGACCACTTAATATAAATGATATAATTTGTATTAAATGCCAAAAAAGAGCTTTTTCTTCAAATTTAATTAATTCTTGATTATTATCATATAAAATAAAAGTAAAAAAAATATTTTTTAATATAGGCCAAATTTGAAAAAGATAAAGAATTAAAACACTTGAACATTGTAAAAATTTATGTGAATATGGATATGGTCGACGATAAAATGTTTTACAAAAACATGCAATTGATAATGAATATAATGATAAAAAACTTAATATTAAATAATATGATGTTTCATTTGTAAACTAAATAAAAAAACAAACAAAAAATCACATAAATATTGTACAAGAAATTCACTTACAAAAAAAAAGCGAATATGCTGATTCTATAATTATATTATGGAAATAGAAATTTTTATTTTTCTGCTATTAGAAAACATTATCTTATTATATAACTTGCTTTCGGAGAAAGTAGATTTGAGCAATAGTTAGATATTCGTAAACATTTCTGTAATGATAAAGAAAACTTTCTATTTCTAGTAGTAATTCAGCCATTCCGACAGGAATAATTATTAAACTACTTTATTTGTAATGTATCACCTAATTATATAGAATTTCTCATATATCTATCTTAATTATTAAATAATGTCTTAGAAGACCATATTACTTTTAATTAGAAGTTTTTCTAAAGTTGAATAAGAAAGCATCAATTGAAATTCTATTACTTTTGTAAACTTTTTTGCATTTAAATTCAATTTTTTTTTCTATTATTTAATCACAAAAAGAATAATATAATTTAAAAATTAACTATTTAAATAATGTAAATTATTTACCATAGAAAATTTTTGTTTATGTGAAAATCTATAAAGAATAATACCCGACGTAAAACCATAAAAATTAATTCCAAAATAATCAAGATAAAATGAACGTAAATGATCAGCTAATGTTCTTGAATGAAATAAATGTGCTTGAGCTGAACATAATAACATAATACAAGCACCAATACAATTATAAATAATATAAATACATTGTATTGTTGAATATAAATTAATTGATAATTGAGAAATTTGTTGAAATGCTTGTACAATAAGAATAATTGTGCCAAATAAATGAGTCCATATAGATAATGTTTCATTATGTAATGAAAAAAGTGATCGATAATAATATGAATATGGTTGATTAGGTAGACGGAAACCAGAATGAATAAATGGTTCGACATAAATGTCGAAAACATCAACAGCACGTAATAACATATTTTTTTATTACTAATCATAAAGAAAGAAATACATTTTATCTTTTTATTGAAGAATCTTCTACTCTTCTATAAAAATCGATATTCGACAAAAACAAAAAGAAAAAGAAAAACATCGATTTATGTCCTAAATACATATGTATTGCTATGTGATCGATCCATGGACTATAATTTATCAATAAAAACTACGAGAAAAAAAGAATATGAGAAAAAATTTTGCCAATGGCACATCGCATTTATATAAGCGGAAATTATCTGCATGCATTCACTGAACTATTAGACTAAATATAGATAAAATGTCTAATCAATCATACAACTGTGATCTGTTTTTCGTTTTGTTTTGTGTACTATTATATTCACTTCTGTCTTTAGTCACTCTCTATGTCATCAACACACATATATACTTATAGATGTTCTTCTACTGAAACAAAGGTTAATGTTATATGTTATAACTTGATTTACTTATTGCCCTCTAATCTAAATATATTACATGTCACACACACACACGCGTTAATCAACGAATAATTTGAGTAAATAAGTAAAAATATATTTATATTCTTATGATTGTTCTTGGCCGTCGTTCATCAACAGCAGTAACATGTTCAAGTCTACGATGTCTTTTGTTTGACAACATCTATGACGGAAACATAGAACTTTCACATACATGACAAAGAATGAAGAGTAAAAGAAAAATGATGGTAATGATACAAAGAAAAAAAAAAAGAACAAGAATAGAAAATGAGAAAAAATAAATGATAGAATCACAATCAAATACTTTGATCAAATAGTTAACAAAATAATCATCATCTAGTGATAATTACTTTATTTCATTGTTCAAGAGAAAAATTCTGAAAGAATAAGTAAGAAAAAAATTTCTTATGATTAATAATTTCATGATTTTCTGCTAGACTGCTTCTTCTATTAATAATGAACAGACTCTTAGTTTATTTGAAAGCTTTCTTTTCAAGAAAATATTTTAACTTATAGAAAATTTCTATTCTATATAATTCGAAGATGTCGATACACATTAACCAATTTTTAATTATATCAACTTTTTTATATAAATAATATTCGTAACGTTCAATAAATAACAAAACTAATCACCTTGTAGTGTCAAATAAAATTACACAACACCACGGGGAAAATTAATCTAACAAGAATAGACAATGTTACTTTTGACGTAGGCGAGAACAGGAAAAAAACTGATTATATGAGATGTAAGTAGGGTTAAGGGAAAAAAGAAAAAGATATCAGTTTGGAAAATAATAGGATATTTTTCTCATTCTATTTTACTATAGGAAAATAATTTTTCTATTTTATTAATTAATTAAAATATTTTTTATTTAAAAAAAATCAAATGAAATCTTTGTTTGACCTTTCTTTATACACACTGGATTAAATTTAATAAACATCATTACTGTATCTCGGCTTTTTATTTTTAGATGTTATTATATAAAGAAAAAAAAAATGACTGAGGGACATGATTTTTAAAAAAAGAAAATCTCTAATTTAAATGAGAGTAAACTGAGATCTTTTTTTTTTCCTAAAGTATAAAACATTGAAATATATCAAAGGACTTTTTCTATCGAATAGAAACAACTAAAAACTAGTCATGCAAATTAAATGAATATGAACACGATGGAAAGAATAAATTTTCAAATAGCATAAAATTCACTTCATTATTTTTATTTTTGTTTCTCTTTGTAGAAATCATTTTTATAGAATAAAATTTTTCAATCGATTATATCTTGAGAAAAATCTAATCTATCTTTAATATTGTCAAAAGTTTCATAAAATACTAATAGACATAAATCTTATTTTACATCTGATGGATTAAACAATAAGAGATCTTTTATATGACAGTAAAGTATATTTTTTACTATTATTAAATGGCTATTAATATGTCATCCTCTATAAATAAAACTTCCTAAGATTAAAATGAAACTTGACCTGAGATTTCTTCCTCAATAAAATTTTTTTTTTCTGATGTAGAAAATCTAATCAATCCGAAAGAAAAATAATAGCATGACCTTTCTGAAGCATATCATTTGATTAAAAGATATAATTCACTAATTTGTTGATGGCATTTCAAAAATTCCAACAAGGTCAATGAAATAAGGAAACATGTATAAATACTTTCATGTAATAAATATATATAGGGTGGGCCATAAAGAACATCTCGATAAGAAATTCAAATATCTCCGCCATATGTCAACCGAAAAGAGCTGAAATTTTTATCAATGATAGAGACATATTCAAAGTTTATCTATAAAGACATACCTAGAGAGACTCTTTGTTAAGTATTACTATTGACTTCAACATAGAAATTTTACTTTTTCATATATAGGAAAAAGAACAGTATACTTAGCAAAGGATTTTTCTAGGCATGTCTTTATGAATATAAAACTTGGACATGCCTCTCTCATTGATAGAAAAATCAACTTGTTTGCTGGAGCCGTAATGAAGATATTCAATTTTTTATTCAGCAAAGTGATTTTTGCAACACTCTGTATATTGTTTTCTTTTCCTGTCTGTGAAAAAGTAAACTTTCTTTGTTGAAGTCAATAGTGATACTTAACAAAGAGTCTCTTTAGGTATGTCTTGATGGATATAAACTTTGAAAATGTCTCTATCACTGGTAAAAATTTCAATTCTTTTGGGTCGATATCTGGCGGAGATATTTGAATTTCTTATTGGGGTGCTCTTTATAGCCTACCCTGTATATATAATACTATGTAGTGAAATGATCTAACCAGAAAAAACAAATTCTTATTTGCAAGAGGAAGACTTCTGTTGAAAACAGAGACATACGTTAGATTCAAGCATACTTTCCTAATACCTATCATGGTACTATTCTCGAATTATACAGTTAATCTTCAACTACTATATTTATCCAAAGCGTTCTTTTTTTTCTATAAAGATAGTTCTACTATAACTGAATAATCATTCGGAGCTGACAATAATAATTCATTCAACAGGATTTAAACTTGATTATAAGATAGTAGGGATCGATTCGATTCGATGTGGTTCCAGAAAAACACAAACTGATTATTATCTCTGTAAGATAGTGGCATAACCAGAAATCTTGGGGTCATTGGGCACTGTCCTACTAATTTCTAAAAATGTATTTAAAATGATGAAGATTACTTTATTATCGAGCTAGATTTTAATACAAAAGTTGCCTTTGAAAAGTCGGTTTCGTAAAAACACCAGTCTGCTAGTTACTAGTAGTAGAACAGAATTCATTGTTTTTAGAAATGAACTATAGAATGCTCAATCAACTCATTGATCAAGTCGAGATGACGATAGAGTACGAATGCTCTACGCTCGTTTCGGTTTGACCTTCTTAAAAAAAATTTTCCGTGTTTAATAATACTAACAAAAATCTAATAGTTAACTGTTGGTAATGAAATTGTAATAGAGATAATAGAAGATGTCACAAACTAATTGCGACGTTCTCAGTTGAGTTTATTGTATGTCATTGTCTATTCTCACTGTTTGATTAAATTAACTATTCATATTTGATGTTTAACCTTCCCTTGTCTTTTCTGTTTATTATATACTTTGTCCCTCACTTGTCATTTCTTCTGATCACATGCATTGTCTGTCCTTCTATCATAACTATATTTTGTTAATTACCTTGCTCTCCTTGATTCTTTCTCTTCTCTCTCCTAGTTGCGTATATAAACACGTGTTCATGTATGGTAGCGGAACGATTGATGATATGAAGAAAGAGAATTAAGTCTAACTCCATCCAGTTTAATATTTCTTCTATGGAAAAGCCATTACACTAATGAGGGAACATCTTCAACTGTCGAATATCATATGATACAATACCTTAATTGTGATTAAAACTTAAGAAATCCAGGCAAGTCTAAAACGATGATCTCTTCGAAAATATCGAAATACAGCATTTTACCTTATAGATAAATTCAATGATTATTACAATTATCTAAAAGTTTTAACAGGAGATAAACGATTTTTTTTCTCAAAACAACGACACGAATTTTCAATGTATAACTCATTGCTGTGCGAACAATGTTCTTGTCAAATCCATTTAAAACTTTGAAGTTATTTCAATAACATCAGATCTCTCATTAAACTCAAATTTTTTTTATTAAGATTTATTCAAAATGCTTTCCTTGAGGAGAGTAACACGGATGTTGTAACCCAGACAGATGTTCTCATAACATCGATAAAACTAACGATGAAAGTAAAAGCGAAGAAGAATGTGAGATTGATGATGATATCTATAATTAATGTCAATATGTTTCTAATCGATCTTCTATTACTAAGAGTTCTAACAGATTTCCATTGTCAAAAAAATATCTCAGCAGCATCTGTACGAAGATAACAGTCACGGATTCTTTAAAAATAAACATTTAGTAAGACATTTCGAAATATTTATCAATAAATTATGTGTATGAATTTTTTATTGTTTTATAAATATTCTCGAAGCTTGTTTCAATCTAAAATATAAGATGAAACAATGCATGACAGTTTTGAAATGCTCTCTCGTTACATAAATCATGAAAAGCTTGAAAAATACAACCAAATGTCTCTGAAACATTTTGTTAATGGTCAATCATTAAAGAAAGAATATTACAATGCCATTTATATGAACAGATAACCTGTCAATAATCTACATTTCTTAATGGTTAGACTCAACATATATTACCGGTCTGCGTTATTCTTTTCCATTTTTAGAAATGTTCGCGTGAAAAGTCAGAATTTGATATGCATATGACTCACTCAGAAAATCGGATATTTCAAAAAAAAAATTTTACAAAAGAAAGTCATTATTTAAATGGCAGATAAAATACTGTCCTCATTGCAACCAGCGTTCTCATTTTTATTTTTTCAAGGAAATATCAATCCACGTTCGGATAAGGTTATCTCTTATTTACGAGAAAATACATTCAAGAGTATTTCTTATTAACTAGTTCTATATGAAAGCATGTTATATCCTTCGTTTTTTTTCCCATCTAAAGAATGAAATCA